ATATGTCAGATTAAAATATAAAATAACTCAAATAATACTTAATGAAAAAATAATTTATTATAGTGTTTTGAAAAGCTCTCGAGATAAGTTACAAGAATATGCAATAAAAATGGGGAGTTCCATTTAAGAAAACATCGATCACATTGACTTGGCCTTGAAAAGATCATTCAAGGTCAAGTCCATATTTTCATCATGTGTCCCTCTGTGAATCATACAACTTTTGTCTAAAACATTTGTGTCTTAAACTTATAGATTTTAAGATATTTCAGTGGATACATTAAAATGGCCTACCCTGTAATATGTATATATGTATATATACATGTACAGGGTGTATCTGAAATGATGCACTAAACTTTAGGAGTATTCTATACTGCGTTCACGGAGAGAACAACCTCGCTTTTCGTCCGGTTCGGTCAGATCCCGCCCGATCGACCGCCCATTTTGCCCCCTCTATGCTGTCAATATTGGTCTTGCAGCTTGCAGATCCGGCTAATTGACAAAGGAGACGCGCGCATTCCTTAATGAATTCTTTCAAACATTAGAAAGTTAATATGATCGATACGCATACGGCATTGAAGTAACGCGCTGAAGTCTCTCACCTAATCCCCACTCCGCCCAAAGCTGCGCGAACCGAGGTTGTTCTCTCCGTGAACGCAGTATATTCCTAATATATGTAGTACTACAGAAACAAAAAAAAAACATAAGACACGTTTTATCTTTTATGCAAACTGTCAAAAAATAACAAGAAATTTCCTTACTAACGTATTCTTGAATATCGCCGTTTTTATCATCTTTTCCTTAAATTATGTGATTTTGTTAGTATCATATAATTTCATATAAAATATTTTCTAAAATCTTCTCTAAAAAATAAGATACTAAAAATAAAATAAAATCGACGTCGTGGAAGAAACAAATGAACTGTTTAAAAAATGATAAATATCTGTTGTATGTACATACGATTGTGAAAATTGTTTATTCCCGGGCAGTATATCAGTTAGTACCTCTGTGACGAAATCAGATCAGAGGCGCTGGATATCGTCGGGGGATGTGGCGCGCTTTGCAACGCTTTATAGCTGTTTACAGCGATGCGAAGGCGTTAATAGGCGCGCGGAAGTCGTACAAGTAACAGCGTAGACATACAAGCAACATGAGACAATCGATCAGCGTCGTG